TGAAAATTAAATCAACTAGTTGTTTAAGACACCGATACAGGGAATGGCAAACACTCTACTCAATATATATTGTTACTGCTGTTAATAATATTCTGCCAACAATACCTTCCTCTGTCATCCCAGTGTGACTTTTTTAAAACTTGCTTTTAATATCTTCGCAGGGCTGGAGTGACAGCACAGCGGTACGGCGTTTGCCTTGCACGCAGCCAACATGGCCGACCCGAGTTTGATTCCTCTGCCCCTCTCGGAGAGCCCGGCAAGCTACCGAGAGTATCTTGCCCACACGGCAGAGCCTGGCAAGCTCCCCGTGACGGATTCGATATGCCAAACACAGTAACAACAAAGTCTCCAATGGAGATGTTACTGGGCCCGCTCGCGCAAATCGACGAACAACAGGAGGGCCTTTACCTTTAATATCTTCAGCACTTTACTTGTATTTTATAGAAAACTATTGTTCAGTCATATATATGGTAGACTTCTTGAAAATACAGCTAAAATGGATACTGTCCATGTCTATAAGCACACAGAATACTGAAAGTACGTTAAATGTAGTTGTGGGAGTAGTTGTGGGAGCAAAACCTTTAAATAAAGAAACTTCCCTCTAGAAAAGGGGGAAAAAAATTCCTGGTACTAATCTCGGCCATTCTTGGGTGTTAGTCTCCTATTTTGTTACTTTATGTTCCCCAGATGAACGCAATCCTTCTATGTCTATCCCTGTCTTTCTGACTAATTTCGCTTAACATGATACTTTCCATGTTGTACCACTTGAATGTAAATTTAATGACTTCATCTTTTCTAACCGCTACATAGTACTCCATTGTGTAAATGTACCAAAGTTTCTTTAACCAGTCATCTGTTCTTGGGCACTCAGGTTTTTTCCAGATTCTGGCTATTGTAAAGAGTGCTGCAATGAACAGACAAGTGCAGATGTCACTTCGACTACACTTTTTTGCTTCTCCTGGGATATATTCCCAGGAGTGGTATTGCTGGGTCAAATGGGAGCTCAATTTTCAATTTTTTGAGAATCGTCCATACTGTTTTCCGAAAGGGCTGAACCAGTCGGCATTCCCACTAACAGTGAAGGAGGGTCCCTTTCTCGCCACATCCGCGCCAGCACTGGTTGCTTTTGTTCTTGTGGATGTGGGCCAGTCTCTGTGGTATGAAATGGTATTTCATTGTGGTTTTGATCTGCATCTCCCTGATGATTAATGATGTGGAGCATTTTGCTCCATGGCTTGGAGGCCAGCCACACATGCTAAGGGGAAAGGCAGCTCAGATAGAGAAGGGAGCACCAAATAAAGGGTGTTGGGAGGATCCTCCCAGGATGGGAGAAGCATGCTGAAAGTAGACTATAGACCAAACATGATTGCCACTCAATGCCTCTTTTGCAAACCACAACACTCAAAAGGAGAGAGAGAACAGAGGGGAATGCCCTGCCACAGAGGCAGGGAGGGATGGGGGGGGGGGGGGAGGCGGTGGGGGGGGAGGGATACTGGGAGCCGTGGTGGTAGGAAATTGGCACTGATGGAGGGATGGGTATTTGATCATTGTATAATTGAAACCTAAGCACAAAATTTGTAAGTCTACAACTATACCTCATGGTGTCTCACTAAAAAAAATTAGAAAAGGGGGGAAAAATCTCTATATTAGAAAATAATCTCAGGGCAGGAAAAATAGTAGAGTGAGTAGGGCACTTACCCTGGGTGCAAGCATCCTGGGGTGGAACCCGGAATCCTACATGATCCCCCGAGCCCCCTCAGGAGTGATCCCTAAACACAGAGCCCGGAATAAACTCTGGGCACTAACACGGAGTCAGGAATAAACTCTGCTGAGTATGGCACAAATATCAAAAATTAATTATTAATTAAAGAAAGTAATGTCCCCTCTAGGAAATTTGAACCATATTACAGAACATCATCCCTGAATCATCTTCAAAACAGTTTACATATTCAAAATTAACAACTTTGGTAAAGGATTAGATTCTTTTGACTGGATGTGGCAAAAATACTATCTTACTTGAATAGTTTTCCTGCTAGAAATGTATAAACTTTCAACAGAAAAAAACATCAAAAAGACACAAATTGAAAGATATCATATAATGAATGCTAATGACTCTTCAAAAATAATAAAATATAGAAAAGATAAGTACCGAACATTCCAAATTATAACTGACTAAAGAAACATGGTAACTAAAGTAAAAGGTTACCCTGGTTGGGAACCTTGAACATATTTCTTTTTCATTTATAGAAAATTAACGGAACAATTGCCAAAATTGAATAAAATCTGTAAATGGCAGTATTGTGTCTATTTACATTTCTAGCTTTGGCCACTGTATGACAGCAATAGTAAATTCACACTGAAATAATTGTCGGTAAATTAACACCTTACCTTTAATCTCAAAGAAATCAGAAAAATAATTTATGAATAATATATGGAAAATATAGAGAAATAAATTGATAACCCATAAACAAAGAAAAAATTGGAGCAAAAATAAAAAAGCTTTGTATTTTTTGGGGGGGGTCATACCTGGCAGTGCTTACTCATGGCTCTGTGCTCAGAAATCAAACTTGATATAGTCAGCCACATGCAAGGCAAGCACCTTAACCTCTTTACTATCTTTCTGCAACAATTCTTCATACTTTTAATACAAAATCTATAATTCTGAACTTACTTTAAAACAAATGTCTAAACAAAAATAGGGCATGGAGTAAAAATAGCAAAGAATCATGTGAAAAGATACCCAAAGTAATTAGTCGTCAGGGAGAAAAATTAAAAGAATTAAATGCACTAATTACTATTAGGCTGGAGCGATAGCACAGCGGTAGGGCGTTCGCCTTACAAGCGGCCAACATGGCCGACCCGAGTTCGATTCCTCCGCCCCTCTCGGAGAGCCCGGCAAGCTACCAAGAGTATTTGATATGCCAAACACAGTAACAACAAAGTCTCCAATGGAGACGTTACTGGGCCCGCTCAAGCAAATCAACGATCAACGGGAGGGCCTTTACCTTTTACCTTTAATTACTATTAAAATGGTCAAAGGGTAAAGGATAAAGAAAGATCTGACAGTATCAACTGGTGATGAGGATGTGGAACAACTTATACTCACAAACATTTGTGAAGAAAATTATACTGGTATTATACAAATGGAATCATAAGATTCCACAGTTAAATATGCTTTCATCTACCCAAGAACCAGATATGTAGCCCAGTGGTAATACACATGACTTGCATGCATGAGACTTGGGTTCAATCCCAGCATACCACACACACACATACACACACACACACACATACACACACACACCACATGATCTAGGAAGTCTATTACTCCAAGAAAATTAAAATTTATGTATTTTAATTGGTATGCAAATTTTTATAAACATATTAATAATCACAAAACAATTTCCAATAAAAAATGGATAAATTATGTTGCATTTGGTTAACAGTCTACTAATTTAGCAATAAAAGAAATGAAATATGATATATGAACCAACAAGGATAAAATATCAAAAGTATGTTAAGTTATAGAATTCATTCCAAAAGATTATAGTACTCCATTTATATTTTTGATATTTTGCAAAAATCAAATTATTGGGATGGAATAAGATCAGTGGATATCAGAAATAAAGTGCTGGAAAAAGGCTAATTAAAAATGGATAACACCATAGGAATTTGAGGAATAATGGAAAAGTTCTGTATCTTAATTGGCATTACAAAAAAATTATACCAAAAAATGACAAATAACTATAATTTTAAGTATGAAATTTTAGTTCACAAGGAAGATACTATTTCACTGATATCTCATTTATTTTCAGCCCAAATAAAACTAAGTAGTATTATTACTCTCATTAAGTAAGTGAGAAAACTATAGTAATACAGTAAATATGCAGTAGGGCCAAACCTGTAGTTTAAATACATTGATCCTATAAAAAGGTCTTATTCTCTAAATTTTCTCATGTTTCTCAAAACTTCTTAGGCCAAGATGATATAAAAGAGATAAAAGCATTAGACGGAATGTAGAATTGGGTAGGTAGGAAGAAACACTAAGATTATGCTACTCAGAATTTGGTCACTAGAGTTAAAGAATTAAAAAAAAATAGTCCACAATTTAAAAAGTCTAAAAAAATGATATTATAGTAACAACAAGCTGATTGGTGTTAAAGGCTTAACTACCAATTTCTTCCATAAAACTTTCTTGATTTTTGGGTTGAAGAGACAGTGCAGCAGGTAGGGCAGTTGCCTTACATATGTGTACCTCAGCAACCCATATGGTCCTACGTTCAATCTCCAGCACGCAATGTGGTCTCCTAAGCCCCAACAGAAGTGATCCCTGAGTACTGAGCCAGGAGTCAATCTTCAGTACCACTGGCTCTGATCCATAAACAAAACAAAGTCTAAAAAACTTTCAGATTTTTTTAATGTCAAGAAAAAATAAAAGCAAATACAAAACTTTCAGAAGTTAAGTTTATAACTGCTGCTAGCTAAGCTCTACCTGGTCCTCCTAGTAACAATAAGAACAACAGTGATGGTGACTAAAATTCATAGTCACTTTATACTTCAACTATTTCTGGGCTAGAGAGACAGTACAGAAGGGAGTGTGTTGTGCCTTGCATAAGACCAACTCAGGTTTAGTCATCAGCACCACATACAATTCCGCAGGCAACTCCTGGAATGATTCCTGAGCATAGCGTCAAGAGCTAGCCCTGAGCACCACTGAACGTGCCCAAAACCATAAATAGACAAAGTGTGTGTGTGTGTGTGTGTGTGTGTGTGTGTGTGTGTGTGTTCCCAGATGCTATCACCAAAGGGTGGAAAATAATGAGGAAATCTTGAAAAGTATCTCTTTGTTTCAGAATCAGTCACTGCAACATTTGCCAAAGAAAACACTATAAGTATAAAAAGCTAGTAGGGGTGTTTTGAAGGCGAGGGGAAGCAGGTCTCCAATTTTAGCTAACTTAGTTAGTAAGTGAATAAATAGTACTACAAATAGCTTCCTTCACCTAAGAACAGTGGTGTGGTTTCCTCTGAAGTAGTCACATTCGGGTCTGCACCAGCTTCTAAAAGCATTTGTACAATCTTCCAATGGCCTTGACTTGACGCAAGATGCAGTGCACAAAAGCCTTCAAAAGTCTTTGTCTTAATGTAGTTTTCAGATGAATCTAGAAAAAAAAATCAAAGATAAGCTGAAATATGTAATTTCTATTTCTTAGGATTAATATAATTAGGCTTGCTCTTCAAGCTCGTGCTCTCCCCTGACTACATATCTCACTTGCTAGTCTCCATGTGGCTTCACTTGCTCATTTCCACTTAAATACCATGTTCTCTCTTGAACAAGTACTTCCTCTTTCTCTCCCCTCCTATCTGTCCAAATAAGTTCCAATAAGATCTTACTTAAGCTTAAAAAAACAAATAAAAAGATAGAATACAAGAAAGTTTAGTATAGGATTAAAATAGAAATAATTTACATGAGACATCCCATAGCATAAAATACTTTAAAATCAAGAGAAAGGGGTCATTCATGGTGATCTCAGAAGGGACAAGGACCAAGGTCCTGCAGCAGCATCACACCCCAACAGCTGCTGCCATGCCTCAGGCCAGATCCCAATGCCTCAGACTGAGCTCCACAGAGATGCAAAGGGGCCAAAAACGTCAAGTAAACTGGGTTTTGGGTTTTTGTGTGTGTGTGTGTGTGTGTATATATATGTATATATAAAATAGTAGACTGGGTTTTAGTTTTTTCAATTAAATATCTATGATTTACAAAGTTATTGATAGTTTAGTTTTAGATATGTATTTTTTTCTTTAATGTTTTAGATATGTGTTTCATTTCATTTTTATTTATTTATTTTTTGGGCTTTTGGGGGGTCATACCTGGCTATGCTCAGGAGTTACTTCTGGCTCTGCACTCAGGAATCAGTCCTGGCATTACTCAGGAGACCATGTGGGATGCCAGGAATAGAACACAGGTCAGCCACATGAAAGGGAAATTCCCCCCCTGCTGTACAATCTCTACAGGCCCTAGACGACATGTATTTCAACACCAATCCCAACACCAGTGTCAACTTCGGCCCACCAGTGTTCCCATATTCCATCCTCACCCATTTCCACCTGTCAACCTGACAGGCACATTACAAACCTCCAATACTTGCAGCTTACATCTCATGTTTTCAGTGTTGTTGAATCAGTCACTGCTTCAGATATATGGCTAAACCCCTCAGCCGTATCACCAGGATAACTGAAGCCTGATCCCTGATGCCTCTTCATCCATTACTTTCTATTCTCCCCCCCGTCCCCCCCGCCGAATTGCATTTTTTTTTCTTCTGCCATCCTCTCTAAACTCTGGGGTCAAGGATGATCTAGGCATCCCCCTTGTACTACTGTACATTTCCACAGTTAGTAACTGGTACATAGGAAACATTGGGGTTTTTCAAAAGTCCATGGCTTTCCTATACGCAAACAGTGAGAGAGAAGAAAGTGACATGAAAAACAAAATCCCGTTCACAATTGTACCCCAGAAAATCAAGTACCTACGAATCAGCTTAATTAAGGAAGTAAATGACCTGTACTAAGAAAACTACAAAACACTACTTCAAGAAACAAAAGAGGACACAAGGAAATGGAAAGATATCCCCTGCTCGTGGATCGGGAGAATTAACATAGTCAAAATGGCAATCTTCCCAAAGCATTGTACAAATTTAATGTGATCCCTATAATGATACCCATGACATTCTTCAAAAAAATGGAGCAAACACTCCTGAAATTCATATGGAACAATAAGCCCCCATGAATAGCTAAAGCAATTCTTGGGAAAAGGAAAATGGGAGGAATCAACCTCCCTAACTTCAAACTCTACTACAAAGCAATAATAATTAAAACAGCATGGTACTGGAAGAAAAGCAGAACAGCAGACCAATGGAACAGGGTTGAATATACTGACATCACCCCTCAAACATATGATCATCTAATCTTTGATAAAGGTGCAAGTAATGTGAAGTGGAGTAAGGAAAGCCTCTTTAACAAATTGTGCTGGCATCCCTGGACGGCTACATGCCAAAAAATGGGCTCAGAACTCTGCCTAACACCATGTACAAAAGTAAGATCAAAGTGGATTAAAGACCTCAACATCAGATCAGAATCCATAAGGTACATTGAAGACAAAGTTGGCAAAACCCTCCATGACATTGAAGCTAATGGTATTTTAAAAGATGTCACGCCACTGGCCGAGCAAGTGAAAACAGAGATAGACAAATGGGACTATCTCAAACTAAGAAGCTTCTGCACCTCCAAAGAAACACTGACCAAAATACAACGACAGTCTATAGAATGGGAAAGGATATTCGCCAAATACACATCCGATAAGGGGTTGATACAAAGGATATACAAAGTACTGGTTGAACTCCACAAGAAAAAAATATCTAACCCCATCAAAAAATGGGGTGATGAAATGAATAGAAACTGTCTCAAAGAAGAAATCCGAATGGCTAAAAGGCACATGAGAAAATGCTCCACATCATTAATCATCACGGAGATGCAGATCAAAACCACAATGAGATATCATCTCACACCAGAGATTGGCCCACATCCAAAAGAACAAAAGCAACAGGTGCTGGCGTGGATGTGGCGAGAAAGGGACCTTCCTTCACTGCTGGTGGGAATGCCGACTGGTTCAGCCCTTTTGGAAAACAGTATGGACGTTTCTCCAAAAATTAGAAATTGAGCTCCCATTTGACCCAGCAATACCACTCCTGGGAATATATCCCGGAGAGACAAAAAACGTATAGTCGAAGTGACATCTGTACTTGTTTGTTCATTGCAGCACTCTTTAAAATAGCCAGAATCTGGAAAAAACCTGAGTGCCCGAGAACAGATGACTGGTTAAAGAAACTTTGGTACATCTACACAATGGAGTACTATGTAGCTGTTAGAAAAGATGAAGTCATGAAATTTACATACAAGTGGTACTGGATGGAAAGCATCACGCTAAGCGAAATGAGTCAGAAAGAGAGGGATAGATATAGAAAGATTGCATTCATCGGGGGAACATAAAGTAACAAAATAGGAGACTAACACCCAAGCGTGGCCGAGATTAGTACCAGGAATTTTGCTCCATGACTTGGAGACCAGCCACACATGCTAGGGGAAAAGGGAGCTTAGATAGGGAAGGGAGCACCAAATAAAGGGTTTTGGGAGGATCCTCCCAGGATGGGAGAAGCATGCTGAAAGTAGACTATAGACAGAACATGATTGCCACTCAATGCCTCTTTCTGCAAACCACAGCACCCAAAAGGAGAGAGAGAACAAAAGGGAATGCCCTGTCACAGAGGCAGGGTGGGGTGGGGGGACTGGGGGGGAGGGATACTGGGATCCGGGGTGGTGGAAAATGGGCACTGGTGGAGGGATGGGTACTTAATCATTGTATAATTGAAACCCAAGCACAAAAATTTGTAAGTCTACATACAACTGTACCTCTTGGTTTGTCAATAGTAAAAATTTAAAAAAAAAAAAAAAGAGAAAGAAAAAAAAAAGAATACACTGGGGTGTTTTGACTGAAAACTCCAGGCCTTCTCAAAGTCAGGATGGATGACCTCCCCATCCCACCCCTACTTCTAGAAGCCCAAGTAGCCATGCCCATGTCCCACCCACAGCCATGTAAGTCTAACTACCTACCAGCCCTGTTCCAGAGACTCATAAATAAATCTTAAAAGAGAAAAAGAAAAATGAAAAGAAAATGGGGTCAGAACATGACAGCTCTGTTCAAACACATAAGAGGGGCCAGAGAAATAGTACAACTGGTAAGGCACTTGCCTTGCACGCGGTCAACCTTGGCATTCCCCCACCCACACCCCAGCCTCACCAGTTCTGAGCCAGAAACAACCTTAAGCATCACTGGGTATGGCCGCAAAACAAAAACAAATACACAGCAGACAAATTCTACACACACATTCATTTCTAACTTTTTTTGGGCAGGGAAGTAAGAGTCAAAATGTAACACAAAATCAGTATGTGAAGGTGAACCAAATATTTGTTTTAAAACTACTGAAATATCAATAAGTTTGTTTATTTCAAAATTTCATTGAGGGAAATAGTCTTATCTCTAACATTACTTTGTTGTACTCAACTAAAATGAAAATAGGTAAAATATTCCTTTTCTAGTATAGTTTGTAATAATTATATCCGTAAAACAATAAAGTATATTACAAATAAGCCAACTAGTGCCATACTGTTTTTAGGGAACTTATGAGCTAATTCATTTCAAGATTTATAGAGTTTGTTATGAAAATCTCAAGGTTCTGGTTGCACTGTAGCACTGTCCTCCTGTTGTTCATCAATTTGCTCAAGCGGGCCCAATAACATTGTGAGACTTGTTGTTACTGTGTTTGGAATATCAAATACATCACAGGTGGCTTGCCAGGCTTTGCCGAGTGGGCCAGATACTCTTGATAGCTTGGAAGGCTCTTGGAGAGGGGTGGAAGAATCGAACTCGGTCGGCTGGGTTGGCCGGGTCGGACGCATGCAAGGCAAACGGCCTACCCTCTGCACTATCGCTTCAGTCCCAAAGTTCTGGTAATATTTAAATTGTGTAAGTTGTGTTAACATTTAAATTATTACTTTTTCTGGGAAGTGTGCCCTGGTGGTGCTCAGGGAACACATATGATGCTGGAGATTGAACTAGGGTTGACCACCTATAAAGTAATCCTTAACCCCTAACTATGTCTGACCCAACAACAAAAAACTTTTAACTCCACACTGAAAGATAATATTAAAAGAAATAGCTTTTCAGTGCTAACAGGGAAATTCATAGTACTGCAAACATTCATTAAGGTGAAATAACTAACAAGCACATTTAAGGTACTAGAAAAAGTACGACGGGACCCCAAAGCAAGGAAATAATAACATACAGAGCAGAAATCAATGAAATGAAAACTAAAAAATTTTCAAAAAAATAAATCAACGAAACCAAGAGCTGACACTTTTAGAGAATAAACAAGATAGACAAACTACTAGCTAAATTCACAATGCACACAAGAGAGAAAAAGAAAGGATCCTAATAAATCAAATCAGAAACAAAAGGGAGATGTCATAACAGATACCACAAAAATCAAAGGATCATCAGGGACTACTGTGAAAATCTTTATGCCACGAAATTAGAAAATTTAGA